CCAGAGCCCTCAGAGTCTGCAGGGCCGGGTCGGGAGAGCTTCCACAGGGGCACTGCCCAGCTCAGTGCCCCGAGCACGCCCCCAGCCCCACTCTCCCCACAGGACCATGCTACGATGAGCTCGTCGCTCCCCTTTACTCCTACTCCATCGGTGCCTCCTCCAGATACAACATCTTCTACTCGCCCAGCTTTGCCCGGCTGCACAGTGAGTCCCCCTGCAGGATCGGGACGCAGGTTGGGCGGGGCACGTGGGCCGGGAGGGTCCTCGGCGAGGGCTGAGGAATCCAGTCGGATGCTGGGGTGGGGCCGAGCAAGAAGCCCCCGCTCAGCTGGGAGCCACTGGGTGCAGGGCTGTGGGATCAGCTGAGCAGCTCCCCCACAGGCACCAGCGGCTGGTCCCCCGATCCCCGGGACAAGCAGCCCTGGCTCCAGATCGACCTGATGCAAAAGCACCGGATCAACGCGGTGGCCACGCAGGGAACCTTCAACACCTATGACTGGCTGACACGCTACATCGTGCTCTACGGAGACCACCCCACCAGCTGGAAACCCTTCTTCCAGCAGGGCAGCAACTGGGTAGGGGGGAGTCCTGAGGTCCCTGTGGGAGGGGGTCCTGTGAGGGGGGTAGAAACCCCTAGCCTGGAGCAAGGTGTTTGACAATGACCCTTGATCCCCAGACGTTCTTTGGGAATGTGAACGAGAGTGGGGTGGTGCGGCATGACCTGCACTACCCCATCCTTGCACGCTACATCCGCATCATCCCAGTGGCATGGAATCCACGTGGGAAGATCGGGCTGCGCCTGGGCCTCTACGGCTGCCCCTACCGTGAGTACCTGGCCAGGGGCTCCAGCAGCCCTGTGCAGCAGAACCTTGGCTCTAGCACTGTGGAAAACACTCTCAGAGGGGATTGCGCCCAAATGGTCTGCAGCCATGGCATAGACCACAGCAGAAGGGAGTGTTCCCCGTGCCAGGGCACCTGCTGCTGCAGGCAGTGAAATGGCTGGGGCTGCTCTGCTCTCCTCAGGATCCCACGTGCTCTACTTTGATGGGGATGATGCCATCTCCTACCGTTTCCGGGCTAAGAGGGTCAGCACCTTTGAGGATGACATCTCCTTCAACTTCAAAACGCTGGAGCAGGACGGGGTGCTGATGCATGGAGAGGGCTCACAGGGTGACTACATCACGGTGGAGCTCAAACAGGCTCAGCTCCTCCTGCACATCAGCTTAGGTGAGCCAGGGCCAGGGGGCTGAGGACATGGGGCCAGAGGGCTGCCAGCTGACGCTGCCCCTCCCCAGGCAGCAGCCCACTGCACGCCAGTGAGGGCCACACAACAGTGGCGGTGGGCAGCCTCCTGGATGACCAGCACTGGCACTCACTGCACATTGAGCGCCTCGGCCACTACGTCAACCTGACGCTGGACGGGGAGGTCAAGCGCTTCCGCTGCCGTGGCACCTTCAACCAGCTTGACCTCGAAACTGAGGTGGGTGCAGCAGGCGGGGGACTGCCAGGGTGCTGACTGGTGGTGTCCCCCCAGAGAGGGACTGACCCTCTCCCTCTGCCTCCCAGATCTTCTTTGGGGGGGTGATTGACCAGGACAAGCAGCACCTCACTTACCGGCAAAACTTCCGGGGCTGCGTGGAGAACATCATCTTCAATGGGGTCAACATCGCTGAGCTGGCCCGGCACCGGAGACCCAACATCCGCTTCGAGGTCCAGGCCGGGGGGTGCCCCTTCTCTGGGGGTCCTGTCCCTGCTGTGGGAGGATCCTTTTCCTGAATGTCCTTAGCCATATCAGCGGGTGACCCCTTGCCTGGGGACAGGCTCCCTGCCCGCTGTGGGGTGGTGCGGGGCTGGGCAGCAGCCGTGCTCAGCCAAGCGGCACCACATTGACCATGCAAGGTTATCCCTGGCCTGGGGTGCCTGCCTGGTTCTACCAGGCATTGGGATCGATTGGGCATGATTGGGGCCAGGATTGTGGGGATGGGAGGGGCCTCCCTACCATGGGAACATCCCCTTCCTCACCTCATCCCGTGGTTGTCCCCAGGGCAGCGTGGGCCACTACTGCCAGGACCAGCTGAACACCCCCATCACCTTTGCCGGCATCAACAATTACGTGCGGGTGCCAGGGATCCCACGGAGGAACCGCCTGGCCGTCAGCTTCCGCTTCCGCTCCTGGGACACCACTGGGCTCCTGCTCTACACCAACTTCTCTGATGGCCTGGGCTCTCTTGAGATGGTGCTGAGTGAGGGGCAGGTCAATGTCTCCATTGTCCAGCCCGGCAAGAAGAAGCTGGAGTTTGCCGCAGGTGGGTTGGGGAGCCAACGTGGGGAGTGGGGCCAGTGTGGCAGCGGAGCCTCCCCACACACCCTCCTGTCCCCACAGGGTATCGCCTGAATGACGGCTTCTGGCACTCAGTGCACCTGGTGGCACGGGAAGGCTCAGCTGTTGTGACCATTGATGATGATGATGGTGCTGAGTTTCGGGTGGCACACCCATTCCAGCTCCGTACTGGCGGCCAATACTTCTTTGGAGGTGGGCAGTGGGGCAGAGGCAAGGGTGACATGTGCCTAGGGGCTGCTCACCCTGCTCTGTCTTGCAGGCTGCCCCAAGCCAGCCTCAGTCACCGGCTGCAGGTCGAACCAGACAGCCTTCCATGGCTGCCTGCAGATGCTGAACGTGGACTTGCAGCCCGTGGATGTGGAGCTGCTGGTGCATCAGCGGCTGGCGCAGTACCACAATGTGTTCTTCAACGTCTGCGGCATCACAGACAGGTATCAACTGGTACAGGGGTGCTGCCTGGGAGTGAGGGGCACTGGGGGGCTGTGCTGGTGCTGGGACAGGAGCCCTCTGCACCCTCAGGTGCACCCCCAACCTGTGTGAGCATGACAGCCGCTGCATCCAGTCCTGGGATGACTTCATGTGCATCTGCAACCTGACGGGGTACAAGGGGGAGACCTGTCACAAATGTGAGCCTGGAGACTTGTGGGTCAGGGACAGTAAGGGCACTTGTGGCCCCTCCCTCTGCCTAGTGTCCCCCTCACACTGACCCCCACCTCATTCTTCTCTTTCAGCCCTTTACAAAGAATCATGTGATGCTTACCGGGTCAGCGGGAAAACCTCGGGCAACTACACCATCGACCCGGATGGCAGCGGGCCACTCAAACCCTTCATGGTGTACTGTGACATCCGAGGTGGGGGCAGCAGGAGGCCAGGGGGTCCCTCTGTCCAGTGCCCCTGGGGAGCAGCCCTGCCTGTGTATTGGGGCTGGAGCAGGATAGAGGTAGTGAGGGTGTCCTGGGGGTCCAGTCCTAAAAGCTCCCTGTCAGTGCAGTGGACCGAGCATGGACCATCATCCATCACAACCGCCACTACGCCACACGGGTGACGGGCTCCAGTGTGGACCAGCTCTACCTGGGGGCTGTAGAGTACTGGAATGCCTCCTGGGCTGAGGTCTCAGCACTGGCCAATGCCTCTGAGTACTGCGAGCAGCGCATCGAGTTCCACTGCTACAACTCTCGCCTGCTCAACACTCCCTGTGAGTGCTGGGGGGACTGGGGCTGCACTGCAGGGCTGTGCTCTGGGACAGTGTCTTCACCCTCCCCTGTGCTTGCAGCTGGGCTGCCCTTCAGCTTCTGGATGGGCCGGAATGATGAACGGCACTACTACTGGGGTGGCTCACGGCCGGGCATCCAGCGCTGTGCCTGCGGGCTGGACAAGAACTGTGCCGACCCCCAGTACTTCTGCAACTGCGATGCCGACCATGCACTGTGGTGAGTGGTGGGGTCTGCAGGACAGAGGCTGAGGGGCGGGGGCTGCAGGCATGGGGGCCCTCAGATGGGGGTAATAGGGGTGCAGGCTGGCAAAGGGACAGAAGCCCCTCACGGCCACTCTGATGCACGCACCATTTGCAGGAGGACAGACAAAGGTCTGCTGACCTTTGTGGACCACTTGCCTGTCACCCAGGTTGTGGTTGGAGACACCAACCGCACTGGCTCTGAAGCCCAGTTCCTGCTGGGGCCCCTGCGATGCTACGGAGACCGTGAGTGACCAGCCCCATGGAAGGTCCCCTGCCTGCAGAGTGCCTACACCCACAGGGGTCCCACACCTGCGAGGTCCCCCACACAGGGAGGGTCCTTGCTCATCCCTCACTGCCCCTCCTACTCCCCACAGGCAACACCTGGAACACCGTCTCCTTCAACAGGGGTGCAGCCCTGATCTTCCCCACCTTCCAGGCCAATCACAGCCTTGACATCTCCTTCTACTTCAAGACTACTGCCCTATCTGGAGTCTTCCTGGAGAACCCTGGCACCAGAAACTACATCCGCATTGAGCTCAACAGTACGGGGGGCAGGGGG